GGGTACATTTGTAGAGATGGATATTAGTTGTATAAGACTAGCGCATATGGTAAGATATAGATACATTTGTAGAGATGGATATTAGTTTTATAACACTAGCGCATATGGTAGGATATAGGGTACATTTGTAGAAATGGATATTAGTTTTATAACACTAGCGCATATGGTAGGATATAGGGTACAGTTGTAGAGATGGATATTAGTTGTATAACTACTATAACTTGTAGTCTTATGATTATTTTTGGGAGTTGTTGATTTGTTTGAAAAATGTTATCATGTTTGCTCTATTGGAAGCACATCTCAAATAGTAGCACACATAAACTAACAATTGTAATGTTGTACACTTCATCATTGAAATGTGTCTTATTTTGACTATAGACTTCTGCCATTTACATATCAAGTGTATGCACTTTTGATAGTGTAATTATCATATTTTTGAGTGGTTGAATTATTAGTAATTTGTAATTATTAGTGTTATTATACAACATAATTGTAGAATTGAAAACATTTTTTGTGAAAGTAATTTTCAACCACAGAAAGTAAGAAAAAAAAAATATATAAGGTGGAATAATATCATATGTGACTGAATGTGTCAGTTACTCTCCTGCCGAATAGTTTCTTTGCTAGAGGAAAAAAACAACAAATTACAATTAGTTACAATTAATATTAGGATTATGAAATGACTTAGGATTTAAGGCATCAATGTAAGCACCCAGGTCACAAAATGTATATACAATACAATTTTTATCATATACTTTTTATAGCCTTAATTGGAAATAAATGCAAATCTTTAAAGCTGCTAGTTATTGATAAAAAAATGGAATCCCTGAATCCTCGGTGTTTATGTCAAAATGTTAAGAGAAAATATCCCACAGCATTGTAGAGCACAAGGTATGATAACAAGTTACAGAAACAAACAGTCCAAATATTACATTTCTAATTCTATTTCATCTAATCAAGACTGAATATTTGTGATTTATTTTTACAATGTGTGATGCATACATATTTGTACTGTGCAGGCTGCTCAACATGGTGCTATGACATGTCTACATTGGCTGTTTGAAAAGGGAGTCAATCCATATGCCAAAGATGGTAAGTCAAACCTGTATTAAAAATCTGTCATTGATTATACTGTATGATACTGCGAATCATTTATTTGTTTGTTTATATATTTGCTCATTATGCATCCATTGACATCTGTCCTTCTATCCATCCATCCATCCATCCATCCATCCATCCATCCATCTATGCACCGTCCATCAAAGTGCATGTATACAAATATACTGATTAGAGATGATTTGTTTGATTGTTGCTACCAGGTCAAGGTAATACTCCATTGCATATGGCTGCTGTTGGTGGTCATGGCAAGTGTTTTAATTGTTGTCTTCAACATAACAGTAGTCTGGAGATACAGAATAATAGGGAGGAGACGGCAATTGACATAGCTAGACGATTTGGGCATCCTGTGGTGATTGACAAAGCAGGTAAGACTATTCTTCTCAA